GTAGGTGCTACGTTTCAGATGGTGTGATGGAGTAACATGCTAATGTAACTTCCTAATTACATTACCTTGGGCTTGTGCAGATTCAGGGAGAAACAGAAGAGCCTGTTAGCACAATGGTTTAATAAAAATTTTCCAGAGACACTAATGGAATCAATACTATTTAAGAATCATTTGTTAAAAGATGAGAGTGAGGAAGATATATTTAAAGATTTGAATTTAAAAATAAACTTAAAAAATTTATTGGGCCATCTGCACATAATGATGAAAACATTTCCATTGCCCTAGCAAGGAAAATTATATATAATACATAAGCTATATAGATTATATTCTGAATAATGGGACAAGCTGAGTCTACATTGTTATAAAGGCTATCTTTCTGCTTCTTTTATGTAATTTGCTCCCAGATCCCAGGTCATTTGTGTAAGCAATAATGTACCCATAAAAAATAATCCCACATAAAGTCATTCCTAGGAAATATTCTGAAGCCCAAGCTATGTCATTGCTAGTTAACATATGTAACTATTGATTATTGGTGGTTTTCTTCACCTTGTTATTTGCATTTAGGTACTTTATTGACTGTTCATCTACACAGTGTTTGCTTCAATTGACAACTTTCCATATTTGGCCAGTTGAAAATTATATGGTGGATATCTACTTAAAATATTTGAAAAATAATTCCATAATATGCTAGGAAAATTGGAAATAAAAATAAAACATGGATATTTGGGAGCCTTTATCTTTTGAAGGATTTATTCACATGTCCATTCTTTCCAAGAAACAATGTATAAAGGTTTAAGAAAGTAATGAATATTTCTTTCCATTAAGTTGCTGCTGACTTGGATATTGAAGGGAATCTCTAGAGTGTGAACTAGTCTATATAATTTTTCTGTTTAAAGATATATTTTTATTAGAAAAGATATACTTTTATATCTTTTCTGTAGAAAGATATATTCTTTTCATGAAATGCCCATACTGTTTATTAAAATATGAGCTTAATTATATTGATTATGGTCTTTCCTCACATTGGAAAATAAGCTATTGGGTGGTAGGGGCACATCCTTAGAGTCTGATGAACTGGATTTGAATTATGAACTCTATTATATGAAACTTGGCAAGTTATTCAGTTACCATAATCCTTATTATTCTCTTTTCTACAATAGTGGTTAGACCTATTTCCTAAAAGGGTTTGAGAATGAGACAAGGACAGCACAGTGCCCTATACATCCTTTCTCCCCATTTCTACCTTTTCAGCTGTTATATTATTGTCTGTGGGAGCAAATACTGAGTTAGATAAGTGAACAACCCAGCTGACTTAAGACTCTTCAGATATTCCTGTAAATCACAGCCAGGAAACAACCTGACCTTTTTATGTGTAGCTGCCCTTTGCTGTGCATTCGTCCAATCAAGAAAAGCATTCAGCTAGACTTAGAATTCTAGATTCACATTGACAGAAGAAAGCACCAGAATTAATAATTTTAGACTGGAATAAAAAGCAATTGAATGACTTGGTAAGAGTAAATTCATTTGAACAATATTTTGAAAAACTTACTCTGCATCAGAGATTAGCTTCACAGAATCTGATTCAGTAAATATAGGCTGAACCCAAAGGATTTGAGGTCATTTTGATCTCTTAATACTAACTTTGAAGATATGATGTGGTAAAAGTTTAAATCAATAAGTAGAAAAAAACCATCATTTTTATCCACTCATGTTATCTCAATACTATTGTTTTCATTAATCCAGATAATTTCAATAAGTTAAACAGACAAAATGATCACTCTATCATGTCTGTACACCTGCTCAAAACTCAGAGTCAGTCCTTCATCTTCTGCACTCCGGCAGAGACTGCATCATAGAACCTTCAAAGTCACGCATTCAAGCGTGCTGCCATATACATTTAACAAAAGATATATGGAGATCAATTTACAAAAATAATTTAGTGCACCTTGCTTTAGATTAGAAAACAAAATGTATTTGCTTTAAGAATCCTTTACCACAAGGTTCCTCATTACAGTTTAAATATTTTATTTATACAAAACAAATGTTCACTTAGCATTTTAGGAAGACACATATATAAAACAAAACCTATAAATGTTTGGGGAAAAAGAGGAGGAAGAAACTAAAAGAATGCTCTAAGTCCTAGGTGGCTGAAGCACTCTCTTGCTTTAAGATCAACTGGATTTTTTTAAAACATGAATTTTACCCTAAATTTAAAAATGTTAAATATAAGCAGACTTATCTCATGATAAAATCATAATGCAAGCCATGAGAGACCTCTAAAAATAACCAGTCACTGCACTGGTATTTTTTTGTTTTTAATTTTCAAATACTTTTTCCTATTACAGTTGATAGTAAAATGAAGCGCAATTACTTGTTGTCAGTCTACCCTGTTGGGTGTGTCCGAGTTTTGAAAGCATGGGTCCTGGATCTCTTGCCATTGGTGGCAAGAGAACAGCTGTGGTGAGTTAAGAAAATAGAAGTAGCTCGGAGGTCTTACTCAGTACAAGACCAACTCATCTGGATTCTTACTGGGTAACCAACCCATCTGGACCTGCAACTTTTATGTGTTACCTTATTTGTTACTTATTTATTTATTTTCCAGAGTGATAAACTGTTAAGAGCTATGCCAGTGTTAAGGTGTAACTACTCTAGAGACTTCTCACCGTCATCTTTCCTGAAACCAGTTATCTGCCAGTCCCATTTTCTCTTCACTTATGTACTGCCATCTACTCAGCACATCTGATTTTCTTTCTTCCAGCTTTCTAATAGTTCACATCGGTATATATTATTGCACTTTCAGTTTCTTTACCTATTTTGAATGTTTAGTTTGAGAGATAACATCTATTTTCTAGCCAGGAGCAAACAAAAACAAATATATATTTTTACTCCCATATATGGTGGTTTTTAGAAAATATTTTTGCAAAAAGGTTTTGCTATTTCTTAGCAGTTTGGGGAGTCAGACTGACCTGGTTTCAAACTAGGATTATGTCATTTGTCTTTTTCATTTTTTATTTTGTATCCTATTTTGAGGATAATACGTTTATTGATTTCAGGGAGACAGAAGGTAGGGGAGAGAGAGAGATGGAGAGAGACAGAGACAGACAGACATCAATGAGAGAGAGAAACACGGATTGGCTGCCTCCTACATATGCCCCGACCTGGACCTGGGGTGGAACCTGAAACCCCCTGGTGCCTAGAACGATGCTTTAACCAACCGAGCAACCTGGCCCGGGCACATCATTTGTCTCAAATGTTATACATGGACATGCTTTCTTTCCCTTAATAATATAATTTATATTGAAACCTGTATCATTGTATGATTTTCTGGAATATTAAGGATGGAGTAGGGCTAGAGATTTGATAAAAATGAGCTAATTAGTAAAATGTCATTTGCCTGTTAGCATGTTTTGGCCTCTATACATCATTTTGGATAAATTACAATTCATTTTTTATTAGCAGAATAGAAACAGTTCTCTATTAAAACATGTATAAGAATTCATGGTTTAAGAAATAGTCTTGTTGGAACAAAAAAAAAGAACAAAAATTTATAAAGCTCTTCCAGATTAGCTCCAAATTTATTATGTGTTCAGTTGAACACGTGTATAAACTGGCACTGTGGATCTATTCTATATTACCCATACAATCTCCATTTAGATGATCTTTGGTTTCTTTTCTTGTGCTTCTCGATTTTATGTCTACTTTGGGGCCAATATACATCCACTTCCTGTAAGTAACTGTTCTACAAAAAGTATAACTTGTTATACTTTTTGAACAAAGAGTTTTGATGTGAGAGCCCAGGATAGCACACAGGAAAAGTTCACTTAGCCCATATAGATAGAGGAACTGACTTAAATTAGGAATTACTAAACAGCACATTAACCTTTTTTTTTTTCATTCTGTTTACTGTCCCTGGAAATTCTCTGGCTCCAGTCAGAGAGAGTAGGCTTTTACTGTAGAGGAAAGACTAACAGGCTCTGAACTTTGAGATTGATTCAATCCCAACAATTATTAGCCATGTATTCTTGGGTAAACCTCAACTTCGAGACTAATGTGTCTTCATAGGATGATTATGAAGACAAAATGAGATAATTTATGTGAAATGTGGTTATAAACCTCTGCATAACTTTATTGTTTGCCACAGCTCTTGCTGTTGTTATAACCATGTTGAGGTCAAATTCTGCATTTTTCAACTCCAAACACAAACATTTCAGTTGTTTAAATAGGTGAGCATAGACAGGAAGGGAAACATGGGGACAAGGTAGTTAGGAGGGTTATCAAATGCTGAAAAAGGTAGGTTAGAAGTAAAGGTTTTAGACACAAATGTAATATATAAATTGTAAATATGTGGTAATGATTTGAGACACAGTCTTCTCTAGCAGGTCCTCACTCCCACCAACCCCTACCCTGGGCGTGGCAGGATGAAAACTAAGCAAACAACCCAGCAGCAGCAGCAGAAGCAGCTTCTTCTCCTTCCTCCTCCTCTTCTTTTTTGTTAAAGATGTTTTGAGTTTAATTTCAAATATGAGAAATCTCAAAATTCTTAGTTTATTTAGCTCCTACTGTAGTAAGTCCTTAGATGCACAGAGCTAGGTTTCCAAGGTGACTGCTTCTATTTAAGTTTTTCACTTTAGATGAACTTAAAATGTTGAAAGAAACTGGTTCGCTTCAGAAAACCAAGGGCATATATCTATGAGGCTCCCTATAACCTAAAAATTTTTAAAGTCATTTATCAATTTGAAAGTGTCTGGAAATAGTTATAAACTGCTTATTTATGCAAATTAAATGATGTTTGAATGTTTGCAAGGCCAACTTCTAATAAGAAAAATTGCAAATGACATTTTGATTTACATAGTAATAAATTTTACATTTGATTTTAGACACAAATAATACATTTATAATTAACTCTATAAATTTATTATCTGTGCAAAGCAAATTTTCAACTTAGAGGATTAAGAATAGTGTGCAAAGAAGTTAGAAATTGAAAAAATAAAAATTTGACTTAAAATGACAACAAATTTTGAATAGCAAATAATTTATGCAAAATATGCCACAAAATCTGGGATGTTAAATAATTGACACACGTACTATGACATTTAGTTTGATTTAAATTAGTAAGAGAGTTTGCTTCTGTCAACATATTTTTTCTTTCTGACTTTGGATATTTTTAATAAAAATTTGCTGTACATTTTTAAAGTTCATTCTTCTTGAAGCTGCTCTTAAATTTGTCATGATAAAACTAGACTTTTATAGGTATGATTTTTAGAAGAAATAAAAAATTAAACATTCGACATTGGTTTTTACAAATTGTTTTCTTCATTGTATTTGACTGTTTGACCCCTGTTAGATTGACATATTTTTGACCTATTTTTGATGTCATGATTATAAATGACAACATAAAAAAGCGCTCCTTCTAGTGCAACAGCAATTGAAACTTGTAGTTTTATATTAAAAATCACACAAAAGAATGTGTGAATATCATAGATAAATTAGCAATATTTTCAACAGTAACCAATATTTTCAAACAATAACCTATGTCAAACAAACACCAGAAACAATTATTTCAGGCTCTAAAAGGTCAGGTATTCATAATTTGATTTGAATTAACTATATAATACAAGTGTAAAATCAGTATATGATCTGAAGTGGTTTCAAATTATTCCAGGTTATTTTTTCAGATAATTTGGAAGTGAATCTCTTTATGGACTGCAGTATAAACCATTTAGATCATTTTGGGATATCTGCAGTCTCCGTGAGCAATGAGTTCTCCACCACAGCTCATGTCTGTATTGAATGAGCTGCGGAAGTTTAGACTCCTTTCCCAGGAGACAACTGATGTAGCAAACAAAGTTAAAAAATTCATATATTTTCTTTGAGATGTTCCCAAAATATAGCCTCACATTTCTAAATAAGAAGTTGTCTTAAAAACCAGGCACATTTTGCACTGACTAATGATTATTTTTAGGTTAACCACTTTGGGTTAATTAGGAGAAAAATTGCTACTGTACAATTATGCTCTATTCTTCTACCTTGGCCCAAAAGTACTGACATGTAACAAGTTTTTCTTTGTCACTGACAGTTGTACCTTTTAAGTGTTTCAAAGTCTGTTGCTGTGGTTACGGCCTTTGTTTCCAGTGATGTTTTGTCCATGCTTCCCTCCCACCCTTAACAATAGGTTATTCAAAAGAATGAAATAATGAGTCATTCATTCGGAAATATGTTGTTAAAATATCCCTCTTTATGATTACATTTCACTACTTAGAAACTAGGCTGTAATTCAAGGCAACAGTTAAGTCTGTGAAGAAGTGTTAGAAAAACTCTTTGATTTTTTTTCCATTTATAAGAAAAACCTGGCTATGTAATTGAAGAACTTCTTAACAAGCATCAACAATTAAACCCTTTTTGGTTAATGTATTATTTCTGGAACAAGTAGATAAAATTCTACGTAGTAGCATGATAAAAATCGTGCATGTTTCTCACAGCACAGAATTGGAGAGTCAAGGTTTCTGGGCACAAAAGCGGTAACAAAACAGTCCCTACAAAACTGAGTGACTCTGAATAACACAAGAAATAATTTTTGTTAATTTAAAATTTTAGAAACTGAAATGTGTAAAGTTTGTAACATAAAATGTAATTAAATTATGGTACTGTACATACCAGTTGTTTGTATAATTTTGAAATTTTACAATATGAAAAATACATTAGCTCTGTACAGTTTTTACAGATAGGTAGGATGAGTTTTGGGAAAAAAGATTTTTTTCCAGGGAAATACTCTTAAGTCAAAAAAATACTGCACAACTTAGCTAATTACAAAGTGTAGTCTTGAAACAATTCATGTCTTCTTCATTTCATGAATCAATCTTGGATTTTTGTTTATTTTAACAGGGGATTTTTTGTTTTGTTTTTAGAGTCCACAATGAACAAATATTCCTCATTTTTGTCCTTGAGGTTACAAAGTTTGGTGGCAACTCTTGGCTACCGAAGAGCTCAGTTAAGCTAGATGCTGTTTATGGTCACCGATTCGGCCAGCGGCTGTGATTGTGCTCAAGTCCAGCTCCGTCTCTAGGTGTGTTTCCATTGTGTCTTCCTGTGCATTCGTTTCGAAGGTCTTATGAGAGAGAAGTTCGTGATGCACCCCACAGTAACTTATTGTAGGCTGGTCGTATGCGAGAAAGGTTGACACATTCATTGATAACGGTATCTGGGGGAAAATGACACAAGAAAAGTCAGTTATAAAAAGACAGGCAACTTTGAGGGCAAGATTTGGAGACTGTGAGAGTGCTTACAACTCTATGGTTGTATCTGTGGCTCAAGTGTCCTCATGTTCTCCCACTAATGTCCTTCGTTCTCATGCTAGTAGACACGGTGTGACACTTTCAGAGCCTGGGATGAAGCTGCTCAATTCTTAACTAGAATAGTAGCATAGTGCTTCTGAAAATGCTAAAAGCTTTATTGGAAGAGTCAGAAAAATGCTTTTTCTTTACTGGGATGAAATTGTGGGTTTAGAACTAAGAAAACTAATAACGGTTATGTGTGGACTGCCTCCTCATCTGCCCCCAACCCCTATCTCCATCCCCTGAGTTTTGACTTTGTTGGTTAGGGGTAAGACCTGGAATTTGAATTTCTCCAAGTTCCCATATGAGTCTGGTGCTGTTAATCCACAACCACACTTTGAAACCCTCTGCAGAAAAGAATTGTCTAGGAAAGTCAGTTTGGCTCTTGTCACTCAATAACTTCTTAATGCTTATTTCTCCATGAGAATTCCTTGAAACATTAATGTCTGTAATTTGGCCTATATATCTAAAATTTAAGGTTTAGAGAACTCCCAGGAAGAATCTGTTACTCCTATGTAAGTCTTAAAAGAATGAAAGGACGATGCTAGTTTTGAAGCAAACAGAGGTGTGTATAAGGAAGGGATTCCCTTGCTAATTACAGCTAATGAAAAATGCAAAATCTAAAGATAAAAGAAAAAAAAAACAAGAGTGACCACTATGAGCAGAAGGAAACATACACGTTACAGACAATGGGTAGTCTGAAATGTCAAATGTTAATCTAGAGAGTATCCCCATGCTTTTCAGTAAGATAGATACTTGTCTAAAAAAGTAGGCAGATATGAGGAACCCTGAGCTCTGATCCCCTTTTAATACCATAATTACTAATTCATGTTGTTCAATTGCCTTGGATAAAAATTTCTGCCATTCATTTTCATGAGTGGGTAAAATATGCTTCTGCTTGAGCATTTCAGATTAAATTCCCTTCTGATGTCAGCTGAGATTAGATCCTGAGGCTAAGAAAAGTAGAATGTCTAGGTTTTATTCTTTACTTGGTCCTTTTTCTCCAACCCGCTTTGCATTTTTTTTATTCCATTTCTGTTCTGCTACCCATATTTCTTTTTTCTTCAATAAATGTTGGTTTAGCAAGTATTTCTTTATTTCCTCTTAAATAATAGTATCCACTTCTTTTGAGATTATTATTTTTAATATGAACATTTCCATGTATGAGATGTTCAGGGCTTGGAGACAGAAATGTAATCCAGTTCATCAAATTAAATACCTGAGTAACTTTCTTTTTACATGGATTCTTAAAGTTTGACACATGCAGTTATCTGATATGTGAATATAAGACATATACTTAAAAAAATAATCAAGGTGATTGAAGGATCTTAGAGAAAATAATAGGATGCTTCCAAGGTGCTCATCTAAAATAAGAAGTAAGAATTCTGTTTCTATAGATTAAATAGCTCAGATAACTAAAATATAATATTATGCAAAAGTAATTGTGTAACATGAATTGATTGGAGTTATAGGAGAGAATGAAAATAGAACTGTTATCAGGTACATGAGTTTCACATTAGCCTCTGGGAAAATCAATGCTCTGTAATTGGTTATGGGCCATATATCTGTATGATTTAATATATTTCTTCTTATTTGTCATGGAAATTTATGGATCATATATGTTATATCATTCCTGGCTTGCTTGGAATTAACTCTACAGTAATTTGTGATTTCTATGGTGATGATTTAGGAACAATAATAAACCATAATATATTTATTCTGTGTGTATGTATATGCACACACACATAACTTCCTGCTTGTTTTACTATCTAGAGCCTGCTGATACCCAGAGTACAAGTCCTAACTCAAACCATGTTAGTTAAATTGTTAGCTCTCACTATATATTAAAGTATTCCACATATTTTCTTTAGATAGTTTCTTATTCTTATATATGTCTTCGCCCATGGTTATACTTAAAAAATTTTTTTAATTGTATTTTTTTCATTGGCATTCAGTCCCTCTCTATACCTCCCTCCCCTCTGAAGTCACCACATGTTTTCCGTGTCCATGATGCCAAGTCATGTCATTCTGTCTCTGAAACTGGATAGCACTCATAATTGGTGTGGATATTTAACATGTATTTCCCTCCCTGCAAGTGGAAGTGATTCTTAAATTAAATTACATCTTAATATCAATAAAGTATGATGTATCAGTAAGTAGAATTTAACAGGTAACCATATCTGAATACAACATTACAGTAGATTTTTTCCAGGTTGACTTAAATGCTTTTGAAAATCTAAGAATGAGCATTGGGGCTTAAATGATTTTGCAAATCTAAGAGTTAGCACTGGGTATATTCACATGTGTATTTATAGTAAACCCCATCTCTTTACATACAATATATACATAAATACATGTGTGTGTAGTCTTATAGCCAATTGTGATTTATAAATCATTTAAATCAGGTACGAAAAATGCAAATTTGGAGGATATGTTAGTTCTAGACAACTATTACATATTTTTTATGTATAGAAAATATGTATATATAAGATATATAAGTAGATATAACATACCATATATAATATGGGTATATATTCTGCCTGGGTAGTGTGGAGAGGATATCCACTGTCATTAAACTGATACCCTGAGGCTCAGAAACAATCTATGTGAATCCCTTCTTGTTGCCAAGTCAGTAAATAAAGCAGCTCCTTCTTCACATAACCATCAAATGACTTTGTGCTCTTTCTTTTCCCTTTCCAGTCTGACCTTGGTGTACTCAGTTCATTCTCTCTATCTCTTTCTCCATTCTTAGCTGCTGCATTTTGATATACTGAATCTGGGGAGGCACACAGTCATGCTCTCCCTGATGGATAGGATGTTCAATAGAGCAGTCCCAGTTTATGCCTATTGTTCCATTTTGGACAATAAATCACTTACTAAACCTTCCTGAAGATGGCCCAAATATGTTCTTGCACAAAATGGAAATGAACAGCAGCCCTAGGTGCTTCACTAGCTCGAGGGGCAGTAGGAGATTTAAATCTAACCAGGCTGTGCTTCCCCAGACCATTTGCCAGTGGGCTCTGTTTAAAGTATCTGTAGCATCTTGTCATGTCTTTCAGAGAGCTAACAGTTGCAGTGTATTTTAATGTAGTAAACTCTTCATAATTACTTATGGTTTCCTTTGGTCCTATAGGTCATTGTTTTCTGGGTGAGGTAATTATTAAGGCATAATTTGTGGATGTCCAGGGATATAAAAACTTACATATATCATGTAGAGTCTGAGTTAAGAAATCATTATATGCTTTTCTAACAATGAGAGGTAGTAGCTAACTCATTATTTAGGAAATTCCCCTTAGGAAAAATTTTGACTCTGCTAAACTACTTCCTCTCTTGACATCAATGGTATTTGCCTAAGCAATAATTTTCCAGTATCTGTCTCATTATCAATGATATGCACCTTTTACATATAAAAATTTATAGTCAGATGAATAAAAATAAGTCATTATTAATGGTATTTTACTCATTCATATATAATTTTGAGCTTGTGATTTTAAAGGGGAGGAATAGTTTTTCAAGTTTCCAATTTGTAATTAAGTAAAAAAAATGCTCAGTTTAACCTATATTTACTACATAAATATCTATATATATTTGTACAAATACAAGTTCATATATATAATCATGCATATATATTGATCATATTCTAATTAGTTGATTACAAGCTACTTATTTATTATTAATTTTTTGTTGAATTTATTTCGATGGCATTGGTTCAGAAAACCATACAGGTTTCAAGTGTGAAACTCAACAAAACTATCCTTTCACAATATATCATGTGCCCATTACCCGAAGCAAAGTCTCCTTCTGTTCTCATTTATCCCCCTTTGCCCACCTCCCCCTCCCCCTCCCCTCTGGCTATGACCAGAGGGAAATGCTTTTTTGCTTAATCCCTTCATCTTCTTCCATACAGACCCCCAACCCCACTCTTCTCTGACAGCTGTCAGTAGTCTGCTCCATGTGTCCATGCCTCTGTTTTTATTCTGTTTGTCAGTTTATTTTGTTCATTATATTCCACATATGAATGAGATCATAGGGTATTTGCCTTTCTCTAACTAGCATATTTCACTTAGAGGAATCATCTCCAGTCTATCGGTGCTGTCACAAAAGGTAAAATTTCCTTCTTTTTTACAGCCAAGTAGTATTCCTTCCTGTAAATGTACCACACCATCTTTATCTACTCATCTACTGATGGGCACTTGGGCTATTTCTAAATCTTGGCTACTGAATGACAAGCCATTTAAACATCTCTTCTGTTGGGTAGCAAGGGTAATTTTAAGTATAATACTCTGAATAGAAAGTGACAGTCCACTTTTGAGAGGAAATAATGAAAAGGCTATTTTTTCCCTTTCTAGAATTGTAAAACATAGGAAATATTTGCTTGTTGTGTTCTTTCTGAATGGAATTTTTAGTGAGCTTAAATATTACTACTGATGATTCTTGAGCGGAGTGCTCATGCTGTTCCTGTATATCACAGTGGGAATCCTCCATTTATATAAGCCAGATATTATCTAGTGACAATTCCACCTCTCCAGGTTGTTTAAAGGATGATACTTTAGGGTTTTTGTAGCTACTGTTTTCAGTGATCTTCATATAGTGAGAGAAATGGACTTCATGAAGGAATTTGTTTTTTGAGATGTAGGCTTTATCACTACTGAGGCACTATTTTGCATTTTATGCTGTAATTTAGAGTCCAGTTTTCTTACTTCTGTCTTTATCTACTAAACTCAATGAATTTTCATTTTAATGAAGTTTATATCTACCTATTAGTGTACATAATAAGAAATAGGCATTATAATATTTTTCAAAGTAATACAGGCATGCCTCCAATGTTGCAGGTTTGGTTCCAGACCACCACAATAAAAATACCACA